ATTTTACAAGTAGTTAATGAGCAAACATGGGTCAACCTTCCCTAACCTCTTTCATCAATCTAATTTGTTTATATTACTTTTGAATTAATATATTTGGTATATCTTGCCGTACTTGGGGAATAATAATTATAGTTTGAGTGTTCCATTTTCATTATAAATTAAATTGGTTCATCAAATAAAAATAACTTATAATATACTAAAATATATATTTTCTAAGTCACCTTGGATTTGTTAAAATAGAGATAGAGAGTTTGAAATTTGAAACATAAATAAAAAAAGTTATTGAAATGATAATTTTTAAGATAATTTTAAATACATCTTATTTAGATGAATCAATATTATAAATAATATATTTAAAACTAAAAATTAATTAAATAAAATTTTTAGAAGTTTATTTATTAATTAGACCGATTTATTATTCATACACAATATTTAATAAAGAGAAATAAATCTGTTTGAAATAATAGTTTTCTTTTTCTTATTTTTTTCTCTTTTTATTTGTTTTTTTTTCTTTTACTCCATCTTATTTTGAATTATAATTTTGATAACGTAAATATCTTATTATTATTAAAAAGTAAAAATATTTAAATAATAATACTATAATTTAATATATTATATAAGAAAATATAGATGTTACAAATATTATTTTTATATTATAATTATAAAGAAAAAATTAAATATTTATTTTAAAATATTTTTTAATAAATATATTTTTTAAATACCTAATTATCATAACTAGATTACAATATTAAATAAAAATATATTTAAATTATAAATATTTAATATTTTTAATTAAATAAGTAATTATTTATTATGATAAAATAATTTTAAATTATTTATTTACGTCGTAAATAAAATTAGTTATTATTATAGTAAATAAAATGATTTATTATCATAATAATTTTAAATATTTAATTAATATTTTTTAATTTCAATGTTGTTTTTGAAATATTTGTTTTAACATATTTTTATTAAATTTTAATATAATAATTTAATTAAGAGAATAAGTGAGAAAGTAAAGAGAAAGATAAGAAATGAAGGAAAAATTACGAGACAGAAAAGAAGTACATATAATAAACAAACTTATTTAAATAAATAAATTCATATAAATTGTAACATCCATTCTCAACACTCCTGTTTGTTAAAGTTTGATAAAATCTTTGTCAAAATTTTAATAATTAAATTATAAAGAATTAGGTAAAGTGAATGTAGAGTTTTATGTTTATTAGATAATTGATATGGTTTGGAGTGATGTTGGAGTTTTAGGGGTTGTGGGTTCAAATCCTGGTTACAGTAAAAAGAAGAAAATAATGGATAAAATTTTTGTAATATAATCCGCTGAGTGGATTGTGAGTCGAAATCTTATTACTTGCGGCCTAAAGAGTGTCATTCTACAAATTTTTCGTAGGTTCATCGTTTCTCTCTTTCTCTAAAAAAATTTCTTACCTTCAAGCTTGATTTTGAGGGAGAAATATTGGTTTTCTTCAGGAGCTCCAAGAGGTAAGTTGGTTTATCTCAACCGTTTTATTTTTTAAAACGATGCATTTTCTATTTTTTTTCCTCACTTGACTGAGCTTGAATGGGTGTAAGAAGAATGTTATTGTAAGTTTTACACCTAGAATACTAGAATAATGCTTAAAATTGAGAATTAGAAGTGATTAAGCTAAAAACTTTAAGAAACCTAATTCGTAGGTACTATTCATTGAATTTTTGGGACTTGTGTGAACAGAATTAGGAATTGGTATCTTCATGAAAGTTGTATCTCTTTAAGTTGTCGAAATTTAGAAACTGGTTTCACATTAAACGAATATTTGTATCTCAAGTTATGCCCATTTTACTGTCAAGTGTTCTAGTTATGATGTTAAGAGGTAGCCCTATTTCAACTGCCTAGGTTTTTGAATTACTGAGATGGATACGTGTGAAATTAGGACTTTATTCCTTCATAAAAGTTGTAGGAAATTATATTCCCGAAATTTATAAAAAATTTTCATGTCAATAGCTTATGTGTAGCATGAGTTATAGTCAAATTACCAAGGCATGTTCAGAGTGTTATAGTAATTGAGCCCAGTTGGAAATAACCACTGAAAACTGCATCTATTCTATAGGGTATTTGAATTTATTTCCTACATCAATATTGTAGGTAATTAAGTTATTAAAATTTTGGCTCAAATCTCATGCCAAAACAGCTTATATGACTCTAGAAAATTTAGAAATACTAAACCTTGTTCATGTTTGTTATTAGGATTTTTCTACTCTAAGTGTATACAAAATAGGATAATATTCTAAGTTAATTGTAAGTTGTGAACTTAAAATATTATTAAAAATGGATTAGCAATACAAAGTGAATTTAAATTCTCATGAGATAGAATCATAGAAATATAAGATTCTAACTAGCATTTTATTACGTATATAGATTTTACTGAAACACAACATCAAGCTTTGAAAGGAATAAATGTGAACGTATCAGATAAGGGGTGAGCTATATAGTAAGGATTACATCATAAACTTGTTTGACCTTATTTGTTGAATTTGTCTAAATTTGTTATGATTGATAATTTTGATTTCATTATATGCTTGGTTGTGAAAGTGATCATGAATTGTTCACGGGTATGATGGTGTAAAATACATGTTTGGTACTCTATTATGATATGTATTGTCTTTGAGTGAGCATTTATATGCATGGTGGTTTTTCATGAGAAAATTCATTGAAAATTAAATTGAAATAATTGGATGATGGGTTGTGAACCCTTTTTGAACTGTATTGGAAGTTTTCTGCTTGTAACAGGTGATTGGAAATTTTTGGGAAGTCCGTATTACAGGGGAAACTCTGTCAAAATTTTTGGAAAAATGTGAATTTCTAAGAAAAACCACTTAGGGACTCATACACTACTCATTTGAAAATGGTGATTTGTGAAATCTGGGGAATCAGAGATTATGGACTCTGAGAATACGATAGGGAGGTCCTGAGGAAGGACTTGAGAATAGGAAGGGTAGTGGTTGGAGGCTCCAAAAGACCCAGACTCGCTAGCTGTTGTCGGGGATCCCACTGTACAAACTCTCCTGTACCTGACTGTGCTCTTACCGTATATCAATGGTCAGTGAGCTACTGGGTTTATATTTGAGCATGGGTCTCAACAATCCCGTGGGTGGATTTTCCATGCCTAGTAGTGTCAACTCCTGGCTACCCTAGTACTGATTTGAGAAATGATTCGGGCCCGCATGCATAAACATTTTAGAAAACATATTAGGATCATGCATCATTAACATCAATCATTTGGAATTTGATTGACTTGTGAATGTTTATGATGTTAATTTTAAAATGATGTATGAATTGTTACTCACCCTCTTGTCTTTCTGTTTTCTTGATTTCCTTTGTGCTTGCGGTACTCGTTGGACCTGATCGATCATTGTTTGAAGAGAGGGGAGATGACACAGATTTCACACTCGATGAATATGATACTCATAGTCATTAGCTAGGAGCCACAATGATGACAACATGTATTGAGATAAACATATCCAAACTTTTATAGACAGTCTTTTGTAGTATATAGACATACATGGTACTGAGTAGTATTCACTCTTTTGTGTAGTTAGTTGCTCTATAGGAAGTATCTCAATGTTGTCTTTAATATTTTGGAGGATTGTACTAGTATTTTATCTATATGTAATTATGAATGTTTACTTTTAATATTTTTTAAAATGATGAAATGCAAGAATGTATTATTGAAAATTTATGCATATTAATATTATGTACAAGGGAAAGATGATTATCGGTTAAAAAAAAAATTCTGCTAAAAATTATTAATTCTTCTTGTTAAGGTAAGGTGTTACATAAATTTTATTAAAATAATTAAAATATATATATATATTATTTTAAACATTCATTCTATTTAGAAACGATTTTAGTACAATGTATCCCCGGAGCCTTTTAAAAGCAATGTGTTAATTAGGTGTTTGAATGTAAACAGATAAAAAACGAGCCTTGCTAACAATGCGATTAAGTTGTATCAATCATTAAATATATCTTGTTGAAGTTGTTTTACTAAATATTTTAAAATATTATTTTTTCTTTTAATCAAAGTTCTTAAGAAAATAATGTTGATAGAAAGGTCATTTTCAAGTATGTCTGTCAGCTTGCCTATTGTTTTAAATTTCCAATTCCAAGTTTGAAGTCAACAACAATAATAAAAGAACACACCTAAAAATGAAAGCTCAAAGTTTGCGACTGTAAATTTCTCCACATAATGATGATGGTTATAGAATTAAGGAACACATGGAATAATAAGTTTGACTATTTGTACCCCCCTTACCGAAACCTAATCGAAGAAAGGCTACTTTACTTTAGTGTTGCCCAACGAGAAATGGAAGCAAAGGCAATTATGAGTCCAACGTCAAACCCAGAAAGTGAAGAAGCCTTTGTAGCTGTTTCTGCGGATTATGATCACGAACGAGTACTTTCAGTTTCGGAAAAGCACTTCAACATAACCCCATCTTTTATTAGAAGCAATTATGAGTGTGATTGAGTACGCGACCATCAATAATAATCACACAAACTTCGAAGAAATTTTCATTACCTATTTGCTGTCTCCTCCATGCCACCCACTATCATTCAAACCCTATTATTTCATGTCTTGTGCTTCTCACCACATCTCCATCACCTCAAAAGTGGTTCACCTTAAACAATTTAATCCCAATAATTGGTGACTGGAGCAAAAGAAAGAAAATCCTATAAAATGGAATTAATCTATAAAATAAGATTACCTTAAAATTAGCAAGGTTAAAATATATTCCAGTTTCAATTAATTAAAAGGATAGTATTAGTAATTTAAATTATGTAGTAATAAAAGTTTCCGAAACAAGTGCATCATCTCATATTTTAGAAAGTAAAGTTATTACAAAAGTAAAGTTATTATAAGTGGGACCCGTATCAAATTTACTCCAACAATGATTCTCACGTGAGGGGATGAAGGCATGGTGACTAGGGGATGAAGGCAGGGTGACTATTCATGATGGGGATGCGGCTGCTGCGACTGCTGGTGGTGGCGCCCCTTGCGGGTATCAAGGGCCGTTGACTCATGCGAATCACAAACCTGAGTTTTAAACTTGCAACCGAACTTCCGCCCCAGCGACGCCCTCCAACCGCTGCCACCGCCGTCGCTTCCGCCGGATTTGTCAAACTTCGCGATGACTCTCTTCATCGAGGAGCACTCGCGTTCCAGTTGATGCACCCGCGTCCTCATGCTATCCATGTCCAAGCGCAGCACTTGATTCTCCCTCACCGCTACGCGCCACGTGCCGTTCCGTTCCTGTACGTGCTCTAACTCTAACCCTTCGCCGTCCTCTGCTTCCCGTTCCAGTACCGCCGACTGCCGCCCCGGCTCGGCAGCCGCCTCCGCCGCCATTAGCGTTCCGGCGATGGCGTGTCGCAACTGAAGCTGCTCGAAGAACAGCACCTGAACCACCGCGCGCAGCGGAAGTCTCTCATTTTGCGCCGCGTGCGTGCAGGCCTCCAGCGTCAACTTCTGACAGTCCAACAATCCGCAAATATTCTCTCTCTCCTCTTCCGAGACCCACGGATGTGCCTGCAGAAGTGAATATCAAACACAATTGACAACTCCATCGTCAAATGAGAAAAACGGAAATTAATCGCAATGGAATCGGTAGTTTGGTACCTTGAGATACACATCGACGGCTCGGTAGAGACCATCGTGGAAGAGTCTTGCCTCATCGGGAAGCGAGATGGCGAAATTGTAGAACTTCTCCGGCTTGAGATTCGAGTCGGAAGCTATCTCCGAGAGGTATCCGTCGATGAGTTTTCCAACGAGCATCAGCGCCGGCGACCTCGCCGCCGTGTCTTCGGTCGTTGCGGCGTTTCTTGCATCTAAACTTTCCAGAAAATGACTCAAAATCCTCTCCACGCAATCGACGTCGTAAAGCGTTTCGTTCAGGTACGAGTAACTCGGCACGAGAAGGTCGTCGAGCGTGGCTTCTTCGAGCTGCAACCCTATCTTCTTCTCCAACGCGTCTCTGCAGGCTTCGGAAGCGTTCAGTATATTCGCCGTTCGTAACAATCCGAACAGAAACCTCGTCGCTGTTGCGGCCTTCGAACTCTTCTGAAGAGTAAGATTCGAAACCAGCGTCTCCAAAAGCTCCTTCTGCTCCGCCTCCGTCGCAACGGACGAAGAAGACGACGAAGGCAACGGCAACGGCTTCCGATTCGATCTTGAAACTCCAGGAATGTGCTTCTTAGCATAATACATCACGCAAGTTTCAACAATCTCAGGACTCAGCTCCGCAGTTTTCATCGCAAGAATCAATCTCTTGAATAGAGGCAGACGCAGAAGAGCCAGATCTTCAAACCAAGAATCGCTGGGACCAGCGCCGGCCTTTCTTCTTCCAGCACCGTCAATTCCATTCCAGAGGACCTGTTTGGACGCAGTAGTGGCGTCGCTCACCGGCCATCCAAACAATGCAGGATCCGCCGACGAAGCTCTGGAAACAACAGAATCAACGCATCTCTGCGTGATTCCGAGCGTTTCCGCCATAGGCATTAAGGAGTCACACGATTTTAGGGTTTTGACAGAGTCCTTGAGACTCTTTAGCACGTGCTGCGAGAGGAACCTCTCCGTCTTGGAAACGAGGTTGTCTTCGGAATAATCTTCGGTCATTTCGAGAAACTCGCCGGCGCACCGTAGCGCGGCCACATTGGACGGCGAGAGGTCGATCTTGACGCCATAACAGAATTTGGCGGCCATCTCGAAGGCCTCAGAGCCGCCGGGGAAGCCCGTAAACGTCACGTGGCACTGCTCTTCAACGATTTCGTCTTCGTCTTCGGTTTCTTGCTGCTGCTGCTGCTGCTGTGGGGCAGAGGAATGAGTAGCTGCCTCTTGCTGCGTTATCAGGTGGTGGAGCTTTCGGCTTTTGGACATGAGAGGAAACTGAAATAGGTATCAGAGACAAATTTCAGAGAATGGAGTACGGAGTATTGTCGGTACTGGAAGTGGAAATGGACCCATGTGGCATTTGTGTGAGAAATTTGATACTCTGTATTTTGAGGCTTACCTTGTGGAGATGGAATGTCATATCATCAACTTCCACCACAATGTCGCTCGGTAATCCCGTTGTGCAGAACCTGCAGAGTAGAATTGTGAGGAAACAACAAATCTTGGAGAAAATGGATGAGTATATGAACCGAGAAGCTCAAACGATGCTAGTTTTCTAACCATGCTTGTCCTTTGGAGCTGGGTTTTTCCGCTGATGACATTTTTGTCTGTAAATTAAATATGTGATATGGTTTTTTTGTTCTCTGGGAATTTCTGTATAGGTTACTGGACAGTCAGATCCATGTGTATGAGAAGTGTGGGAATGATTTGAGGGAGTGGAGACACAGAAAATTTTGCGACTATGAAAGATTGGACGGATGCAAAATGTGGGGGATAATACCCAGAGTTGTGGTAGTGTTGCAGCGGGTGAAATGGACTTGACTTGCGCTACCAATTGGAAAAAAGAAAGGGAAGATGAGAATGAAATAAATGGTTTGTTTGTGCTTTTATGAAAGAGAACAACAGATGAAACTTTAACAAAAGAAAATGGAAAAAAAATAAAAAAATAGGTGAAACAGAATAGAATAGAATGGAATCCACAAACTCAAAGCGGACAAATGTACCTAGAGCAAATTCCTAAAAAAATCATACTGGATCGTTTTTCCCTCCTTCACCAAACCTTCCCTCTTTTTCTTTTCTATATTCATCTTTGATTACCTCTTTTATATATATATATATATATTGTCTGTTTTTTTAAATGTCAAAATATCACCAAAATAAATAAATAAAAAAAATAATAAAAACTATAAAATAAAATCTTCAAATAATTATCATATTATAACTACTTCACTTACCATTATCATGTTATAACTATTTCACTTTATTAACATGTTTATTTATAATTTGTATATTCAAAAAACTTATTTTTTAAATGTTTTCATCAATATTTCAATATACTATTTGAATATCCTTTAATATAATTTCTTTTTCATTTTTTTTTATATTTTTAACTCTTTAATTTTTATGTTCTTTATCTTTAACTCCCTAATTCTTAATTTTATTCTTACACTTTCAAAAATTTAATACTAATTACTCTACTTCTTTAATAACATGTCTTTCTTAATTACTACATTTCTTACTTTCAACTATTCCATATCCCTTTCCATCCATTCAATTTTTTCGATTTTTTATAGGTTTATACTTAACACGTTTGAATTCAAACAATAGTATATTGCGTCACCAACTCACAATCCTCGGATAAAATCGTTGCAAATATCTATTTTATATAGATTACTTTACATATTTCATGTCACTTTAAAAATCCAATAAAAAATGAAATAGTTTCAATGTCATTTAATTATTCATATAATATATTAATTTCTATTTCATTCAAATTGTATGATAGCCAGTAGCTCACCATCTTATATAATGTCTCTTATTAAAAAAATATGTTTGGATAATAAAATATGTTAGATGAATAATTTACAAAGAGAATGATTAACTTCAAAAATAATCTTAGATAAAAAAAAGAATAAAATTATTAAATAAAGATAAAGGATAAAAAAGAACAAAACATAAGAAAATTAAAACGAGAAGAGAAACTATTATGAAAACAATAATATTTTTTGACAGCCCAAACAATCTTATCCTTATAAAAATCTATCGTAAACCATTCATGAGTTACTATTTCTTAATATACCGTTAATAAAACTTCAGAATTAGTATTATGAAAATTGATTATTTACCATAGTAATTGGTGAATCAATGGCTATAGAAAATTAGTTGTCTTTTGTTACATATAAATCTACTTTTTCTTATTCAGAGACGTGATTTTGTAACTGATATAACACAGCATGCTAAAGTGTACCTACTCTTATCATGTTTCTCTATATCAATATTTTGTTTTATTTATATATAAATATTATTAGAAGAATTGACGGATTTCTTATAGATTTTCTAGCAAACATATTGTAAGAATTTTATGCGAGTTTTGTTACAAAATTGTTCAACAAGAATCATTTCACGTCTTTATACAATTTTTCTTGTCAAATTTAACCTGCATCACATCTTTAAATAATATTTGTTTAAATTCATAGGAAAATTTGCAAATAGTTTTCTTACTAGTTTACTTTACAATCATGATGTCATCATAATGTTTTAGATTACGATAGCGGTGTCCTCAAAGAAAAACGATTTAGTGGTATATTATTTACGTAAGGCTACAGAAGTTGATAATCCTTCCAAAAAACTTTTCTTGGGTTTCTTCGGATGAGAAAAGTCTCACTCGTTCACGCCATATATCAGTTGAAACTTAAGAAAATAAGGCATCAGCTTGTTTGACTAATTAACATCCAATTATTAGTTCAAATATCTTTATTCAAAAATATTATATTTACTGTATAAAAATGTACAAAAATAATATACTTTTAACTTTTTTTTTAATAATTTAGACGATTTGGTGCGACAAGATGCTATATAATACTAATACAAAAATGTTCACACACTTATGCTTAGTCATAGACGACAAAAGTTTTTACTAACATTAGTGCATGACAATTCAGAAAATTAAAGTTAATTGTCTCATAAAAGCTACATCAAGAAGTGGTTAGTAGTAAAGGAAGTTAAAGAAGAAAAGAGAAAAATCTAAATAGAAGTTGCAATCAAATTCACCGTACAAGTTACCACCATTGGTTACGTGGTAGTTGCTTCTTCTACTTACTCGGTGCTTGTTAAGTTGCTACAGCTACAAATACGTAACCAGAGGATCTTTCCTTTCTAAGTTTTTCCCTTGATCTCTCTCAATGTCTTGCGTCTCTTTAAGCCTCTCAACTCTCCCCATATTCACACCATGTTTACGATTCCCTCAACAACCTCTTCAAATCCTTCCGATTTCATTCCACAGTCACAACTCTCGGAAAGTCAACGTCTTAGCTTGCCAAACAAATCAAAACCTTCGCAAATCCTCACCAACGGTATTTTATTTATCTATTATATTAAGATTGGTTTCTTTATTTTTCATATTTCAATTTTATTAGGTACGTCTACCGTTCATTTTCACAATTCATAGTAGCTGTTAAACTTGCTAATTAAGAATAAAAACGTATTTAATTATATACTTGAACTAGTTAAAATAAAGTAAAATAGTAACTTTTATAGTAAGTGATGTTCTAATGAAAGCTGTGATGTCAGGAGAAATCTATAGCAGAGCTTGGCAGTAGCAGAGGAACGAGTCCCCCAAAAGGTGTTCCTCGCAAATTACCAAGCAAAGATTTGAAGAAGAAAATCGCTATTGTTTCCTTTTTAGGAGCTCTTGGATTTTTCTTATCTACAAGGGTTCACTTCTTTGGTGTTCCTTCGAAGGATCACTGTGCCCATGCATTACCGTCCGAAGAGGTTTGTTCCCCAACTGCTCCCCTTTTCATAATTTCTCAGTCTTTTATGTGACACGCACAATTTCAATAACATTTGTCCAGAAACATAATTTCTATCAAAATATATAAAACATAAAAAGTACGGGCATGAAATTAAAAAGGGATGTAAGAATATGGGAAGTCCTTAGGCTTATGGGATTTGTTCTGTGGTGTTGGATGTTCAAGGTTCAGCACAACGGGAAGGCCACCTTGGTGGAGTTTGATGCAGAATTGTTTGAAGTAGGTGGGAATTAGTTCCTAATGTGCATAAAGTTGAGCACAAGTGATGACAAAGTAGAGCGTATGTAAAAGTGATGACTTGAATAGGTTTTGGTCTCTTCTGCAAAATTTCTCAAATTATTGAACCTCTTATGACCTTTTCATGCGCAATAATTTACTATCTTGATTCCACTGACATACATCGATCTGAGAACAGGAAATGGGTGAACTTTGTTGTTACGTTGAATGTGGATGTTACCATGTGTGAACATGACCACTTTTTAATCTGCTTCCCGCTGTCACACTCTGGTCATGCAACTCGTGACCATTCAGAAAGCGCGTCTCCTACAAATTTATTAGGTTCTTATTTAGACACTCTTCTATAAGAAACCATCTTCAGGTTCAAGCCTAGTTGTAATATTTTTAACACAAAATTATGTTTTCGCGTTAATCTAGCAGCCTAGTTGTCAATTTAACGTTGATATTGTTACGGAAACTTCAGATAGTGAGTGAGCTTTGGCAAAAATGACTGAAAATCGGTTGAAAATAGAATTTTGAATAACAAGTGGATAGAATGGAAGATGTTTGGTACTTCCAATTTTATCTGTTACTTTTCTATAACCTGGCAGAGGACTTTAATTTTCAGCGAACACTTTTAGAAGCAAAAATAACTCTTGTCAGCAAAGATATCGTGCTCTGTTTTTATCTAAAAAGATTAAGTAAAAGTAGTGTGCTACAACTAGGATCTTTGGGGACTTAAAAATCAAAATGGAATATATATCGGATTGCCTTAACCGATACTATTTCTTGAATAGAACCACAGGGGGATATTATTTTTTATGGGACTAGTTAACCTCTTCATGGAACTATCATTTTTAATATTCCTACAACCGAAATGCTACACATTCTAAATGCCTCGTTTAAAACAAATTATGGGTACTTTTTTAATAGGTGTTGATGAAAAAAAAAAATCATTTTCAAACGATGATATTATATTACATAGGTGAGTAGAATCCTTATTTGACTGAATTTGTTTTATAAGACTAAATTAAATATGATGTTGATACCGACAAAATATAATGAAATCTCGTTTTGATTAAAAATTTGATAATATTATATAATAAATTAATTTTATAAAAATTAGTTAAGTGTCTTCTAATAAGGATTAACTGACCAATAACAAGAAAACTTAATTTTAGTTTATTGGCCTGAATTTGAATGAACAAACCGTGTTAAACAAGCATATGTCAAATTGTCACTGATTCGTGACACTACCGGTGAATGCAAAGCTACTGATATCATGAAAGATTAAAAAGGAAGAGTTGTTGGATGTCTTATTTCTATTGACAGAAATCCTATATTAATCTCTAATCTGTCTAGTTTGTAACAATTTAGTCCCTAGTAAGTTGAATTTATTGCAGTCAATTTTTCTTTCTTTTTTTGCGAAAGAACTAAATTGTGTGTATTTTTAAGTATTTATCAATGTCTATTTTGATCAGTGATGGGAAAGATTGCCAAAATTGATTTATGAGAGACCAAGTTTCGAGTGAGCACAGTAAAATGACCAATGTTACATAATCGGATAACTTCTACTCTTGAAGGAACGTTAGAAAGTATGAACAAGCTTCCTTCCATCACTACTTAACAAATACGAACAAGATAGTTGTTGGTTATTCCATAAACAAATTCATATATCACTTTCTTGAGAACAAAGAATGGTGAATAGGTGAATTCAGGATATTGAGTACTTAGGATTCATGAACGTAATTAAATTGACTTGGACATTGTTAGTACGATTTGGGAGGAGAAGGAATGCACAATCTCTATGCCAAATATACTCCAAAATGGCAAAATCCAACAATTGCAAAAGAAAAAAGAAACCATTGAGTGCCCTTTGCCATTGAAATAATAGGTGCTTCACCCAAAATAGGTATATATATGTGTTAGTGGGAAATCGATAAAGGGATCGAGAAACAAATGGGAGCAAAAATCGAGAACCATTTCGATTGAATTAAAGACTGATAAATCGAAAGATAGTTGGAAAATACGTTCGACGACCATGTGATAATATAAGCGAGAATTAGAATCGAGAATCAAAGGAAGAATGTTTAATATCCGTTAGTGAATGAAATCGAGAAATCAGAATTATGTAATGTTAAGGATAAGGGAAAGCAAAGGCAAGTCAAACGTTCTTCGAAATTCCGAAATCAACATCGAGGGAAAGGTTAACCCATGTATCGAAATTCCGGCTAAGTTATAAAGAGAGGAACAGTTGACGTGCACATCGAACATGGTAAGCGGTGACAAAGGTCGAAGGTCAAGGGAGCAGTTACCTCATGTATGGGAACGTGAATGCAGTTTCTAAACCGTAGAGCTAGGAGTAAAACTACAAAAGACGTGCACACAGAACGTGGTAGCAGTTTTCGTTAACTGCTCCTAAGAGATTACTTGAAAGATGCTCTATAAATAGAGCGAAGGAGGAAGGGAAAAGGGGGAGGTGGAAATTGGCAGAGAGAGCAGGAATACTAGTGAGAAGTCTACTGGAGAACGACGAACATCATGAAGTTTTTGGCGATCTGGATTTCCATGTTCATTGATTTCCTTTACCGCTTTCTTTATTTTCCCTGGTAATTTACTTTGATGCAGTTTACGTTTAGCAACTTTAAGTTTCTGTATTTTCAATTCCTTGTCATTTCCCTTTAATGAAAGTTAAGTTTCTGCGTTTAAGTTCCTTGTCATTTATATTAACGCAATTTCGATTTCCTGTTGTTTACATTTCCAAGATTTCGATTACTTGTCATTTACCGTTTGTGAAATTTCGATTTCCTGTTATTCTTTTTCTTGCAATTTCGATTTCTTGTTGTCTATTCTTCTGCAAAGTTAGATTTTTCGCTTATTTACAACCCTGCAATTTTCGATTCCTTGCCATTTACATTTAATGCAATTTTGAGGTTTCTGCACTTTACATTTTCTGCAATTTAATATTTCTTCGCAGCTTTATATTCTGTACCACTTTTCGATTTGACATTTTACTGCTTTCTTTATTTCGAGTGCTTTAAATACAAAATACCAAAAATTACACTTATGATTTGCACTTTAAGTAGCGATGTTTGCATTCCCAAGATTCTCGATTCTCATACATTTTTCGATTGAAAACTAGTTGCTAGCCCAAGTAAAAAGAATCTACGTGGTTGGAATTTGGTTAGAACAAAATTCCCTAGAAATTGAAATCGATCAAAATTCCACCAGAAACAAATTGGCGCGCCAGGTAGGGGGATTTGTGTCGAAAAACACAAAATTGGTTAGTTCGAAAGTGTATGAGATTAAGGAGTGGGCGAGTAATAGGAATGAGTCAGAACCCACCAAATAACCAGAGTAACAGTGAGGGTCTAAATGGTTCACATCCACCAAACACTGGGGGGCAGGGTCATAATGGAAATATGCCTGTAATATCGACGACTTTGAGTATGTCGATACCTGTGAGTAATGAACAAAGTTCAGGCACATTAGCAAACACTCAAGTAGGATCTAGTATTGTGATAGGGAACCCCATAACAACATATGCAGGGCCATATATGAGCGTAAGGCCACCTGATTTTTCGCCTAATAATATGAATGGGGCTAGTACCTCTTCGACACAACGAAACTCGAGATTTAACCTAGAAATGCCTCAGAACGTAGGTACCTTTCAAACTCTGGGTATGCCGCAAAATTTTGGAGTATCTCCAAATTTAGGGGCGTCTCAAAATTCAGTAACCCCCCAGAATTCAGGGAGTGTGCAAAATTTAGGAACACAACAGACACATCCAAACCTAGATCACAGGGCAAATCTGGATCAAGGAAGATATACATTCGACAGGGACTATCATCGATCTAATTTCGAGACTATCGAAAATGCTAGTACTGGAATCTCCAGTAACTCATTAGGAGTACTCAGACAACAAATGGATGAAAGCAATTTTGAGATGATTAATATGTTATCACAACAGTTGACTACAGTTTTAAACCCATTAGTTCAAAACACTACTACTAGTTTTGAGATATTAGCAGACCAAATGGCCCATATCGTGGATGCATTGGACATACCTCGACAAACGAGAATGGAAAATCATGCCGCTCAGAGCATTAACCAGAATGCTAATATTAATCCTCCTTATTTATTAAGGAGAAATCGACACAATGATCAACATCAGAATCTGGGGAACGAATATCAGCATGTAAGGAATGATGTTTATGGAAATCTGAATGAGGGACTTCAGAACATGTATAATCAAAATAACATACAGTACAACCACATGCTAGGGCAAAGGATGAACCCTCAAGGAGTAGAATTAAGGTCACCAAATCAACCATACTTTATTTCTCCTTTTCCAAATACGATTCTCGAGACAGAATTACCTCGAGGATACAAAGTACCTAAATTCACCAAATTTGCTGGAGAAATTGATGAATCCACTATCGAGCACGTGGCTCGATATCAGATCGAATGTGGGGATCTAGCGATGAGTGAAGAATTAAAAATGAAATATTTCCCTAGTTCATTGACTAAAAATGCTTTCACTTGGTTTACTTCGTTGCCACCCAATTCGATATATAATTGGTTGCAACTGGAAAAAAGTTTTCATGAGCAATTCTTTAGAGGAGAGACTCAAGTAAGTCTCATCGATTTAATGAATATAAAGAGATACAATCATGAAAGCATAGATGATTATCTGAATAGATTTAGACAAATGAAGTCGAGATGTTTTACTCAAATTCCTGAATATGAATTAGTCAGAATGGTCTCTGCAGGTTTAGAATTCTCGATTAGGAAAAAGTTAGTTAATTTAACATTGAATGACATGGCTCAGCTAGCTGATAAAGTGAGAAGAGTGGAACAAATTGAATATGAAAAACAAAGGTACAAGAAATTTGAGAAACTCATGAAGAAAGAAAGAGAAGCATATATAAATTATGTGTATGAGACAGACCCCAAGACAGAAATTGATATTGAGGAAACTGTCGATGAGAAAGTAAATATAGCAGAGCTCAAAGTA